GAGGGAAAGAGGGAGCTGCACAAACGCCACCGCTGCCGCGGCACGCTCTCGCTCTCTCGTTTGCGCCCGGCCGTTGACCGCGTGCTTGGTCGGTCAAGCGTTTGACCTGCCAGCCGCAGCCCCTGCATGGGGCAGGCGGCCCGGCGAGGCCGCAGCGCGGGGCTGGCTGGGCGGCCGCGCCTTGGTTGTGAGGAAGCGCTGGAGCCGACGGCGGGGAGGCGCAGCACGCGGTCCAGCGCCGCCGCCGCGGTGGTGCCCTCAGGGAAGGCCAGCGGGGCAGTGGGCTCGGGCTTGCGGTCAAACCTGCGGCCGGTCAAACATGCGAGGGAGCAGGGAGTGAGGCGGCAAGGGGCGGGCAGGGGGGAGGAGGTGGGGAGCATGCGCAGCGACTGCGCAGCCGGCGGTACGGGCCGGGCCGGGGAGCAGGCCGGCACCCGCCATACACAGCTGCAGCACCCACAAGCCGGAAGGCGCGCCACTGCCCAGCACCCAGCACCCACAACGCTGCAGCACCCACAACGCTGCAGCACCCACAACGCGGCAGCACCCACACAGGCAGGCCAGCACCCACAAAGCGGCAGCACCCACAAAGGCAGGCCAGCACCCGCCTGAAGGTCTTGTTGGGCATGTCGCCCAGCACCTTCTCCAGGTCCAGGTCAACGGGGGTGGGGGAGCCCTCGGGGGCGCACCGGTCAACCAGCACCACGCGCCCGCTGCCGTCGATGGTGCCGATGACCTGGCGGGGGGGTGGAGCGGGAGGCATGCGCATGTGTGTCACGCGTGCGCATCAGGAGGTGTGTGTGTGTGTGTGTGTGTGTGTGTGTGGCGGTGGTGGGATGGGTGGGCATGCGATGGGGCGGGGAGGGGAGGTAGGGGCAGGCGCGGCGGCGGCGGCGAAGGGGCAGAGGGCGGGTCTGGGCGCCGCACCACGCGGCAGCCTGCGCGGCGCTTCCCGGGCAGGCGGCGGCCGCTGCAGCCCAGCACCCACCAGCCGCCCCAGCACCCACCAGCCGCCCAGCACCCACCAGCCGCCCAGCACCCACCAGCCTCCCAACACCCACCACCAGCCACCCCAGCACCCAGCAC